AAAAAAAAAAAAAAAGAAAATTAAAATTAAAATTAAAAAATAAAAAGAATTGGCAATCCCAGGAGGGAAAAAACCTACTCTGCTACAAGGTATTATGATCACCATAACCACCTTTGAAATGTCTTTTTTTTTTTAAATGTTTTCATGTGTGTACAAGGCAACACTGAATAAATTTCATTTTCATTGGATAAAACACATTTTTAAGAAGTAAAATTTACTTTTGAAAGTTTATTTAGATGGACTGTATCAACTGATGCTTAATTTAGAGGCCTATATTAAACAACCAATGTTGGATTAATCTTTAAAACACTAACTTTTGCCCTCTTATTCCATTTTTATCTTTAGACCCAACCAAAACCAGAAAAATCAAGACAGTTGTGCAAGAGATGGTGAATGGTGAGGTGGTCTCATCTCAAGTTCAGGAAATTGAAGAACTAATGTAAAATGTCACAAGATCTGCCCCATGATTGGCTCCTTAGGAACAAGAAATTTATAAATAGAAATTATTCCTTTCTGTATTAGTTCAATATTTTGTCTGTTTCATTTTCTTTGGATTCCCTATTCACACTGAGTCCTTTTTGCCCTTCTGAACCAATATCCAGTCACAAGTCATTTTGATCATGTTGATCTCTATAACAAATCAAAATTACCTTATATCTTTCTGGACATGGAGTAGTCTTTTAATGAACTTTCTTCTGGTAACCTGGAATATTTTTTAATCATAGAGCTTTAATCAAGTACTATTGTTTTAGTAGAGTTAATCGTAATAAAAGATGAATGGTAATAATGTGAAATGTATGCCTTCTTGATTCCAACAGTAAAGTCAAGGGCATAGAGAGAAATTTTCAAAATACTAATAATAAAATAGAGGCTGGGAATGATGACTCGCACCTATAATCCCAGCACTTTGGGAGGCTGAGAGGCAGGATGATTGCTTGAGGCCAGGAGTTCAGGACCAGTCTGGACAACGTAGAGAGACCCCCATCTCTACAAAACACTAATAATAATAATAATAATGTATCTAAAAACTGGGATGAGAATGTCAGGGTTTGAGGATTAAGTTAAAAGAAGGTTCTTTTAGAACTTCCTTCCTTTTTATGTAAGCCCATTAAGGCTGTAGCAAAATTAAATTGTCGGGGGGTGGATCCAAGATGGCCGTTTAGGAACAGCTCAGGATTGCAGCTCTCAGTGAAAGCGCAGAGGGTGAGTGGACGCCGTGTTTTTATTGCCCACAGACTAGGAAATTCCCGGGCAGAGGTGCTCCACGGTCACCAGCGCGGCTGTTTCGGCCAGCGCGGCCGTGCCGGCCAGTGCCGCGGCTTTGCCCCGCGCGGCTGCTTTGTCGGCGCCCCG